TCTATTTTTCTTTACTCTGTTTCCTTTCTGTTCATCAGACTTGATCATTTTAATTGTCCTGTCTTCAGGTTTCATGATTCTTCTCCCTACTCAAATATGCCTTTGAATCTTTCTAGTGAAGTTTTTTCTAGTTTTTGTACTTTTCAGCTCTAGAATTTCATTTTTGTTTCTTTTTAGGTTTCTACCTTATTATTGATATTTCTGTCTTGTTCATATTGCGTTTTCTTGACTTTATCCATGTCTTCTATTAGTTCTTTGGGTATCTGTAAAACAGTTTTTTGGTTTGTGTCTTTTTCTTCTTTATTAGCTTTTGTTATAGGGCATGTGCGTTCACCAGACAGAGGTGGAGAGAGGGAAAGTGAGAAATCACATCCTCCCTCCCCCTGGGAGGCTGGCTATGCCATAGTGTCTTCTTTTTTATTTTCCTCTTGGGATTTAGGGCACGAACACACACATGCCTGGTGTGATTTTCAAGCCACTGGATCTGGGACTTGAACCACAGAGTGAGCCATGTGGGATCCAGCAGCCTTAACCTCTGTGTCACCTGTCTGGCCCATGACAATTGTTTTAAAGCCATAGTTTAGTAGATTTTTTTCTCTTGCCTTTCTCTGAAACAGTTTCTATTGGTTTATTTTTTTCCTGTAAGTGGGCTGTACTTTCCTATTTCTTTGTATACTTGAGATTTCTTGAAAACTGGACATTTGAATCTAATAATGTAACTTTAGAAGTCAGATTTTTTACCCCTTTGTCAAAGTTTATTCTTTTTTGATTTGGTTTTCCTTTAAATTTTTTTTTTAATCATGATAGAGTGCATGTGTGTGCACATGAGAGAGAGAAGCACTCTCCATAGGGTCTGGTCATGCCTTGATTTTCTTCCTCCAGCCCTCCAGCCCATCAGATCTTAGGCACCTCTGTACAAGCCTAATGTGTTTCAGGTGGATCAGGCTGGGGATCTGAGCCATGATTGCCATGTGTGATCTAGCCTCTCTGTGAGCACTACATTACTGCTATGCCAAAGAGCTGGCCCTGTTTTTCTTTTAAAAAAAAAAAATTAAAAAACAAAGTTGTAGACTGACTCCATGGCAAAAGTCAACTTGAAAAGTAAATTTAAGATTTTCTCTGAGCTTTTCTGAGCTCGTGCCTTTCACTGAGCATGTGTGGTGATTAATTCCCTGCACATATAGTTGCTTTTGAATGTCTTTAGTCTTTAGTACTGTTTCCAAAAGGGGGAAAAGATAAAAATGAAGGGACAGAGATAAAAGGTCCTGGCCCCTTAAGTCCCCCTGAAAGTTGCTCTAGCCTGAGCAGGAAGGCCTTTCAACAACAGGGAAAGGGGTGTTTGTACAACAATGGCTGCCTGCCTGTGTCTGCATCTCCATGAGCAAAAGCAGCAATCAAAAAACAGAACAAATTCCCAAATTTAGGAGAACAAGATCCTTTATTTCCTTTCCTGGCTCCCAAAAGCTGCATGGAAGCTGCTCCTGGAACACACGCATGGCTGCCTGCTATGTGGCTGAGGAGTGGGAAGAGGTAATGCTTCTGAGCTAAGAGCTGAAATTAACGGCAAGCTACTGTCCAAACCTACCCCTGGAAGTTGCAAGCCTTCATTAGATGCCAGAGGTCTTCCTATAATTCTTCCTAGTCTTTTCCTTATCTTCATCTGATTAAGGATATTCTCCCTTATTCTTTTTTAAAAAAAATAGAATTATTTTATTTGACTTTATTTACTTATTTTTTATTTGACCAGAGAGTGACAGAATGAAAGAGAAAGGTGAGAAAGCAAGCCACCAGGTCCAGGACTTGAACAACAGTCTGCCATGGGAGTCCAGCACCCTTAACCACACCACCTGCCAGCACCTCTTCTTTATTCTTAAATAATAGTGTTTTATTTTTTTAAAATCATCATTGGTATTGAATTTTTTAAAAAGGTTTTTGTCATAGGGCATATGTGCTATCCAGAGAGACAGAGACAGTGAAAGGGAAAGTGAGAAATCATCCCTGGGGGGATTATACCATAATTCCTCCTCCTCCATTGTCCTCTCAGGATTTTGGACACATACACAGACGTGCCTGAGGTGAGTTTGAAGCCACTAGGTCCAGGACTCGAACCATGGTTCACCATGTGGGAGTCCAGCACCTTAACCACCACGCCACCTGCTGTCCCTTGGTTTTTGAATTTTAACAAATACTTTTTCTGCATTTATTGAAAACAATATGTTTTTTCGTCTTTAATTCGTCAACGTGTTTAATTATGTTAATAGATCTGCTGTGTTGAATTAATCTTGTATTCCTGGAGAAACTCAGGCTAGCCATTTTGTAGTACCTTTTAAAATATATTGTTGGATTTGCTAATCTTTTGTTTGGATATGTATACAAACATGTATACAACTAAATTTCCTTTTGTGTACTTTCTTTTTCTGACTTTGGTATAAGGGTATCAAGGTTATCCTAACTATAAATTGAGTAGGGTATGTGTCTTTCTTTTCTTTTATGTATTCTTTGTAAGCATTTATATAAGATTAAAATGATCCAGTTTGGCATCATTATGCCACTTGGACCAGCTATTTTCTTTGGGGTAAGGTTTTAACTGTTGATTAAGTTTCTGTATTAGTTATAGAGCAAACAAAGCTTTCTATTTCTTGAGTCAATTTTGGTAATTTACATTTTTCTTGGAATCTGTCTATTTCATCATCCTGGCATGGATTGTTCTAACTTCTCTGTTATTTTCTCTGCTTAATTTTATTATTTGTATATTTCTTACTATAATTTTTTAAAGAATGTACTTCTAAAAAAATTACCTTATTTTACTTTATTTATTTATTTAAATTTGACCAGAGAGGAGCAGAGTGAGAAAAAGAGGGGAAGTGAGAAAGCAAGCCACCAGGTCCAGGATTTGAACTGTCGTCAGCCATGTGAGAGTCCAGTGCTTTTAACCACAACACCACCTGTCGGCCCACTATAGCTTTTATTTATTTATTTTTATTTATTTTAACTAATTTTTTTTTTTTTGGAGAGGTTTTTGCCATAGGGTGCATACACTCACCAGACAGAGAGAGACAGAGAGACAGAAAGCGAGAAATCACCCCCTGGGGGAGATGGCCATGCCGCAATCCCTTCTCCTCCATTCTCCTTTTGGGATCTTGGGCACGCATGCACACACGTCCAGCGTGAGTTTTAAGCCACCAGGTCCGGGACTCGAACCGTGGTCGACTATACGGGAGTCCAGTGACAGCCATTATGCTAACTGCTGGTCCCTATAGCTTTTATTTTTTAATCTCTTTTTTATTTTCTATTTACTTAAATTTTTATGCAGCTCTATTGTTTTCTTCTTGTCGTTTGTTTTAGTTTATTCTGTATTATCTTTTTCAACTTGAAAAGTTGAATATTGCACTATACATTTTCAGCTCTTCTTTTTAACCTTTAGGGTACTAGATGTTCTTTAAATATTAATTTTGCTATATCTTGTATATATCAATATGTAGTAGGCTTATTCTCACTCACTTTTATGTACTTTAAATGTCCACAGAGTTTTCTTCTCCCTCTCTCTTATTAGCAGAAGGAATGTGCGCTTGCCAGAGACAGAAAGTGAAAGGTGACTGTGTGTGGGGGTTTGGGGGAGAAAGCACCCCTCAATGGGGCATGGTCACACCACAGTCTTTTCTCCTCCATTTCTGAATCCTGTTGGGATTTTGTGCATGCATACATATGTGCCTGGTGTGTTTTTCAAGCTGCCAGTGCTGGGATTCAGACTATAGTTGTTTCATGTAGGATCCAGGTCCCTTAACCACTAGACTATGAGGCTGGCCCAACACAATAATTTTTTAATATATGAATATAGAGAAAGTGCATGCTCTGGTTTGACCTTGTTCCCTAAAAACTGATGCGACAAAATGTTAAGGTTCAGTGGTGGAGCCTTTGGGAGGTAATTAGGACTAGGGTAATGAGGGAGGGGCATTACTGGGTCCTGGCAGGGTTATAAGTGGAGGTAATCTGGGAGACCCGCAGACACAGATGTACACATGCTCCTGCTCTCTTACCATGCGGTGGGCCGAGCTGCCTCAGGACCCTGCAGGGCCCCCTGCCATCAGAGAAAACCCTCACCAGATATGGCCCTGAAACCTTGGGCCTCTAAACCCGAAGCCGAACAAACCTTTCTTCTTCATAAATCACTGAGACTCAGGTATTTGTATTATGAATAACCCATGATGGACTGAAACAGTTTGGTTTTCCTAAACTATATTTTTGTTATTGATTTCATACTTTATTCTACTCAAAATATGTTGTGTAGCAGCAACAGTTTCTATGGTGATGGAAATGTTCTATATCTGCACTGCTCAATATGGTAGCCACTAGCCATATGTGGCTATTGGGCACTTCAAGCATGACTAGCGGGGATAAGGAACCAAATATCTCCTTTCATTTTAATTAAAATATCCACATGTGGTTAGTGACTATCATATTAACTACTTCATGTTTATTAACTACCCATATTTTGAGCGTTATTATTTGTCCTAGTACAATTTAAATTTTTATTAATATTTTATGTGAGCTCGAAAAGCATGCGATGTTTCCTGATAGTTGATTATATATATATATATATACACACACACATATATATATATATATATATATACACACACACACACACACACACCTATTAGTCCAAGCTTATTAAATGTGTCGTTCCTATCTTCTGTGACTCTGCTTTTGGACTGCATAGCCTACTGGATAGTGATATTTGATAATACTTTAAAATTTTGAGAGAGGTAAAGAAACATGGTACTTGACTGTCAAATTCTCCTTGTCATTCTGTCAAGCTTTGATTGTGGATTTTCGAGCTGCGTTGTTAAGTGCACACACGTGTGGAACTGGCATATCTTCCCGATGAATTGAGGCTTTCGTTTTTATGTAGTGAGCCAATTTATCTTGAGTAATGCTTTTTGCCACTATAATAACAAAATGTAAACAGAGATGCTTCTTACTTTTTTTTGCTGGTTTAGTTTTAGAGACTACTAAGCAAGAGTGACTAGGGAAGGAGTCTGACTTAACGGCCCAAACTGAGTCATCTTGTACACCTGAGTACTAAGAGCCCACTCAGCGGTGAGTGCTCTTTTGTGATCGTACCTGTGGGACTGAATACCCTTACACGTTGTACCATTCCAGAAGTCCAGAACGTACTTCCTCCAAGTACTTAACCACAGTGTTAGCTACTACCCATAAATTGGCATGCTACAAGCCTTATGGTTGCTATCTGTTCACATATCCTAACTTTTTATTAGAATACAATAATGTCTGGGGAGAGGGGTCAGTGAAGGATTGCTAGGTGGCTAGGAAAAAACTTGCTCTAAAAATTATTGTCTGGGTAGCTTTTGGGAAAATAAATCTCCAAAACCAAAAGGTCATTGCTAACTCTCTGAAATCTGGAATGAGACCCTCAGACAGGTTGGCTGCCCTATCTGAGAACCTGCCAGCTGTTGGCTGGGATTGCTACAAGGCCAGCATGGCCAAGGCAGGCTTGGTGGATGACTTTGAGAAGTTTAATGCCCTGGAGATTCCTGTGCTGGAGGATAAATATACTGTCTAGGTGGATGGTGAAGAAAAGACAGATGTGAAAAGTTGTGTTGGGTTTAGGTCACTCGCAAAGGCCAGGACTGAGGAATATCAGAAACAGCTGGAGAAAATGAAGAACATAATTCCATTTAATCAGATGACCAGCGAGGACCTGAATGAGATCTTCTCAGAAACCACATTAGATAAGAAATACCCCTATTGGCCTCAACTGTCAATTGAGAATTTTATCAAATTTTTGTGTCTGGGAGGAGGCTCTGGTCTTTGTGTTACAAACACTGGACATTAAAATAAGAATAATTACACAGGAAAAAAAAAGAATGCAATAATGGTTTTTCCTTCAGTTCGTCTTCCAAATACCATGTGTGTGTATATGTTCAATATCCTGAGAATGGAGAAAAAGGGTTTGTGGCATGGTCACCCCATTGGGGGTGGTTCATCACTGTCCCTCTGTCTCTCTCCAGCAAGCGCATGTGTCCTATGGCAAAGAAAGAGAGCGAGAGAGAGAGAAACAAACAAATATGCCAGGCACATGTATGTATGTGCGCCAAATGAGGGAGAACGGAGAAGAGACTGCAGCCTGGCCATCTCCCCAGGGAGCGATTTCTCACTTTCCCTCTCTCTCTGTCTCTCTGTTGAGCATACGTACCCTAACACAAAAAGAGAGAAAAGTACGGAACAAACAATTATGTATATAGCACATAGTATTTGATACTGATAATAAACAACTATATAATTGGTGTATGTTTATTATATTATACCTTTTACTGTTATTTTAGAGTATACTCCTTTCATTTTTTTTTTTTTTTGAAAGTCTACTGTAAAAAAGTATGCTGCGTGGGGCCAGTAGGTAATGTGGTAGCTAAGGCACTGGACTCCCACATAGATGACTGCGGTTTGAATCCTGTACCTGGTGGTTTGCTTTCTCACTCCCCTACCCCCACCCAGTCTCTCTCTGGTAAGTGCATGTGCCTGTAGCAAATTAAAATAATAATAATAATAATTTTAAAAATTAAATCATCTTTTTTAAAAGTATGCTACATTACATTGGCAGCAGCCTCATACATCTTTTTTTTTTTTTTAATTGGCTTTTTATTTTTTCCTGGAAGTCAGACAATTCTCAGTCCTTAAAGACCCGGCTCCTTACATGGGCTTTGGTGGAGGGCAAGGGGCAGAACCTGCAGGTCTAAATCGGGGTGGGGGAGTTTGGTCCTTCTGAGCTTCACGAGATCGGTTCCTGACTACCTTGCTATGAAAGGCGCAGTTCACACAGTGATGTAGCTTCACACACAGCTTGGGGAGCACACAGGCATCGAAGACACTTGCTTTGGAGATGTCCCTGACAGCTACGGCCTTTACTATGTTTCCGATGACCAACTTCTTAATGGCCTTGTCCTTGGGCGTGCATCAGGCGCCGTTTGTGCAGCGAACAGGCTGCACGTGACTGTGGTCCTTTTTGGCATGGCCGTTCTTCCTTCTTTGTCATCTCGTAAGCGAGGCTGCATGAGAGCCTCGTACATCTCCTGTTTACCTTGTCTCTTGATTATATCATATTTTCTTGTTTATCTTGTCGTTTTGTTCATGCCCGTTTTAATGGGATAGGATATGGAGGTAGAAGACAGTGATACTGATGATTCTGACTCTGTAGACCAAGCCAGTGTGTGTTTTTAAGTCTTAGTTTTTAACAACAACAAAAAAATTAAGTTAAAAAACTAACTGAAAAACAGATAAATAGAAAAAAGCTTATAGAATTAACACATGAAGAAAATATGTTTTTATTTTGTACAGCTCTACAGTGTTTTAAGCTGCACTATTACAAGAGTCAAAAAGTTTTAAAAGTTTCAAAGCTTATCGAAGTAAAAATGGCAAAGTAAGCTAAGGTTAAGCTATTATTGAAGAAAGGGCTATTTTTTAATAAATGTAGCATAGTGTAGCCTAAGTGTACAGTGTTTGTAAGACTACTGTGGTGTGCAGTACTGTTCTAGGCCCCTACATTCATTCAGCAGCCATTCACTGAGTCACCCAGAGCGATGTTCAGTCCTGCAGTCTCCATTCATGGTAAGTTCCCTATACACGTTTACCACGTTCCTCTTTTATATCATATTTTTACTATACCTTTTCTATGATTAGATTCACAAACGCCATTGTATTACAGTTGCCTACAGAACTGTACGGGTTTGTAGCCTAGGAGCAATAGGCTATCCTTTATAGCCCAGGCGGTACCACCATTGTTTGTGTAAGTACACTCCGTGATGTTTACACCGTGATGAAATTGCCTGATGGCGCACTTCTCAGAAAGCATCCCCATCATTAAGTGCCACATGACTCTACGGTGGTTTCCAGTTTCTGTAACACAGAGTGGATCTTAGAATCGTAAGATCATGGTAGACCTGACCATGACACAGACGATACTCAGCACAAGGAGTAGCCACCTGTTTTTGGAAGAGCTAACCCAAAGATGATTAATGGATCAGATAATTTTTTTAAAACCAAGTATTTCTAAGTCACTGGCTTTCTTCAGTCTATAAATGCATGTGTGTGTGTTTTCCTTAGTGGGAATTATAGTTCCCATCTGTGTTATTTTTAAATATGTGAATATATTTTCTCATGATTAGATATTTTCTGTAACATGATTTCAAACAGCTTCATATTTTACATAATATAACTGTGACATAATTTATTTACGGTATCTTACAGTTAGTATTTAGATTGTTTTCCGTTTGTCACCATATAAATAATGCTGTTATAAACCTCTACATAGATAAATACATGTGTATAATCTAATTTTCATAGGATAAATGCCTAGAAATGGAATTGTATCATTAAAATACATGTGTATATTTTTGATGCTTTTCTTTTTCTTTTTTTTTTTTTTGAGAGGTTTTTGCTATAGGGCATGTGCGCTCGCCAGACAGAGAGAGACAGAAAGTGAGAAATCACCCCCCAGAGGGGATAGCCACTCCGCAATCCCTTCTCCTCCATTCTCCTCTCAGGATCTTAGGCACGCACACACATGCACCCGGCGTGAATTTAAGCCACCGGGTCCGGGACTCGAACCATGGTCGACTACATGGGAGTCCAGTGACATAGCCATTATGCTAACTGCTGGTCCCTTTTGATGCTTTTCATAGTTTTCAACACCGAGTATATATTTCTGTCTTAGTTCATTTATGCTGCTATAACGAAACACCTGAGTCTAGATAATTTATCAGAATTTTGGTCTGGCCCTGTAACACAGGGAAGCCAGATCCCACATATCTCACTGCAGTTTGAATTCCAGCCCTGGTGGCTTGAAAAACATGCAGACGCATGTGCACTCAAGCCCAAAATCCTGATAGGAAGGAAGAATGGAAGAGAAGGAACTGCAACATGACTATGTCCCATTAAGGCGTTCTCTATCTCTCTCTCTCTCTCTTTCTCTCTCTCTCCCTCATATGTGGCATCTGGCAATGAAAAAAAAGTTTAAAAATATTTTTTAAAAATTATTTTCTCATATTCTGGCAGTTTGGCTGTTTAGTGAGGGCTGTTCTCTGCTTCCAATCTGATGGCACCTTTATAGGGCATTCTTTGGAGGGGAGAAACACTGTGTCCCATATGGAGGAAGGAAGGAGAGGAGAATGAATGCTACATGAAATCTCTTTTATAAGGGCTATACTTCTGTTTACAGGGAGAGGAGCTCTCATGACTTAAATCCCCTTTAAAGTCCCAATCTCTTATTACTATCAAGTTGGTCATTAAGTTTCAACACCTGAACTTTGGAGAGGCCACATTCAAATCATTGCATTCTGCTCCTGCTCTTTCTCAAACTTCTCACGTGCAACATACATTCATTTTATTCCATTCATCCCAAGAGTTACAACTTGTTCCAGCATCAACTCAAAAGTCTCAGAAAGTCTAGAGTCTTATCCAGATCAAACATGGGTTAGACCCAAGATATTATTTATCCTGGGGCAAATTTCCCTTCAGTTGTGAACCAGTGAAATCACATAAGTTGTATGCTTCCAAAATCTAATGGTGGTACAGGCATAAGATTCCAAAAGGGAGAAACAGGATAGAAAAAAGGAGCAGTAAGTCCCAAGTCCAAAACTCAACAGAACAAACATCACATCTTGAGATCTGAGAGTAATCTTTGACTCCATGCCCTGTCTACTAAACACACTGCAAGGGACTTTGCCCCATGGCATTGTGGGACATAGCCCATGCTGTGGTACTCTGGGTTGAAACCAGCTGCTGTGGCTTCCAGGCTGGTGTTGCACTGATGGATAGACAGATCTGGAGTCCCAGAGGGAAGCCTTGTATTATGGCTCCACTAAGCATTGCCCTGATGGGGGCTCCAAGTGGCATTTCCACCTCTGCAGCACATTTCTGCCTGGGCCCTAAGGTTCTCTAAGCCACCTTTTGAGATCAAAGTGGAGGAAGCGCTTTTTTTTTTTTTTTTTTTTTTTGAGAGGTTTTCGCTATAGGGCGCGTGCGCTCACCAGACAGACAGACAGAGAGACATAGAGACAGAAAGCGAGAAATCACCCCCCAGGGGGGATGGTCACGCCGCAATCCCTTCTCCTCCATTCTCCTCTCAGGATCTTGGGCATGCACACACATGCGCCTGGCGTGAGTTTTAAGCCACCGGGTTCGGGACACAAACTGCGGTCGACTATGTGGGAGTCCAGCGACATAGCCATTACGCTAACTGCTGGTCCTAGTGGAGGAAGCTCTTGAACTCTTTAGAATTAGCACCACATGGGCGCTGCCAAGACTCATACTTACACCTTCCAGAGTGGCAATCTGAGCCACACCAGGGCCTGTTTGAACCACATCTGGGCCAGCTGAGGAGTGTTGCACCACAACATGGGGAGCAGATACATGAGACAGCCCTGGCAGTGAGCCCCAAGATCCCAAGGGTGCCCTGGTCCCATCCTTCATCATTCTGCCCTCAAGGTCCTAGCACTGTGAGCCTGTGATGGGAGGGACATCCTTGAAGATGTCTGAAATGTCTTCATGAATTTTGGAGACCTTATCATTATTCAAATCATAGCAGTATTTTTGTAACCATTGCCAGTTACGATAGCCAAAAGGGTTATCTCCTTTTACTTAGAGTATCTTTTAATTACTAGGAATACTGAATTATTGCCCTTGTATCTATTAGCCAGTATTTCTTTTTATTAGTTATTTATTTTTTTGTTGAGATACATACACACACATTTCCCTAATTGTGATGATATTGTTCTAGAGACATCATTCTTCTTCCTTTTTCCTTTTCTTTTTTTCAAATTAGATAGAGAGCATAGGGAACCAGCAGTTAGCGTAATGGCTGTGTCACTGGATTCCCACTTAGTCGACCACAGCTCATGTCCCAGACCCGGTGACTTAAAACTCACGCCGGGCGCGTGTGCGTGCATGCCCAAGATCCCGAGAGGAGAATGGAGGAGAAGGGATTGCGGTGTGACCATCCCCACTGGGGGGGTGATTTCTCGCTTTCTGTCTCTATGTCTCTCTCTGTCTGTCTGGCGAGCACACGCGCCCTATAGTGAAAACCTCTCTCTCAAAAAAAAAAATTAGATAGAGAGCAGAGAACTTGTGAGAGAGAGAGAAAGCACTCCCTATGGGGAAATGATCATGCCACAATCCCTTCCCCTCCATCTTTTCTTCCTTTTGGGATTTTGGCCACATGGACACACATGCAGCTGGCATGCTTCTCAAGCCGTGCATCAGTCTGGGACTTGAACCATGCAGTTGGCCATGTGGGATCCAGCTGCCTCTACCACTGTACTACTAGTTGGGTCTAATGTTTTTTCTTTGTTGTCAGAGTGTGAGATGATAGAGAAAGAAAGCACCTCTCAGTGGGGTGAGGTCATCGTGATCCTTTTTCCTCCACTTCCCTGTTCTACGAGGACTTCAGATGTACATGCGTATGCACGCAATGTGTTTTTCAGGCCACAGTCAGGGCCAGTATTTGAACTGTGGTCCGCCATCTGCAATATGGTCCTATGCACAGCATTTAACCATTGTGCTATAGAACCAGTTCTAGAGACATTAGTTTAATGGTTTATGGAATTCTTTTGCATAAAATATGAGTAAACAACCCATTAACGGATTTACTTATTTCTTGCATCGCTCTGATGCTGTAGAATCTACATCATTCCTTTTTACCCCCTTCCATAATGGTATTGCTAACAGTAAAACTATCTGAGTGTCTGCCTGGTATCTCGAAATAGTATTTTGAGATCTACTATGTGTAATCATTTCATTGAACTCATCTCTACTCTTGCTCTTAACATACTTAAGATTCACATTTATGAGTTAGTATTTTATATATACTTATTTATCTTAGAGATTTTTGCTATAGGGCATGTATGCTCACCAGAAAGACTTGAGAGACAGAAAGTGAGAAATCACCCCCCAGGGAGATGGCCATGCTGCAATCCCTTCTCCTCCATTCTCTCAGGATTTTGGGAATGCACACTCATGTGCCTGGCATGAGTTTAAGCCACCAAGTCCAGGACTCAAACCTTAGTTAACTATGTGAGAGTCCTGCAATGTAGCCATTACGCCATCTGCTGGTCTTAATATTTTATTTCTGTTTCCTAATTTCCTTTGTCCTTTTCTGTACAACTTCTCTTCTGGTGTTATTTTGGAAACTTCTCAGTTGCTCATTCAAACAAATATTTTTTTTTCTATTATTCTCTTCAAGTTCTGTTGTTAGAAACAGATGTAATGATTTAAGAAAAAGTAACCATTCTTTTCATTTTAGTTGCCAAGAGACAGTTCCCTAGGTGCTGTCTTTTTTTTTTTTTTTTTTTTTTTTTAATAATCTCCAGTGCACTCAGTTTGTCATCTTACTTGGTTTAATTTTTCCTGGAAATTTTTGTTGTTATTGTTTTACAATTAAGAAAATCAGAAATACACTCCTATAGCATTTCCAGTAAATTAAGGTGGTTACTTTTTACATTCTAAATGCTTGAAAACTCCCTCTCTACACATGTAAATTTATTAGCTAAGTGGCAATTTCCAGAGATTTAGAACACCTCATGGAATGACAAAGTCTCCAAAGGCCCTGTATG